AATTATGAACAAAATTGCAACATAGAGTTGGATTGAAGGAAGTGTTTAGGATGGTGGGAATCAACTATCAACTATCAACACCTTTTTGGTTCTTTCTTTCTCTAAATTTCCTTCCTTTCTCTTATAGGGTGTAGAATCTGTAGCTGGATTGAGGATGGAAGAAGTAATTGCATGAAATTTTGTATTGTTTCGTCGGAGATGTGGTGTGGGCGGGTAGAGCCGTAAAGAAGTGAAGGGCTCTTATGTTAAAGAAAGAGGAAAAATGCTGACGCCTTCAACCCACTTCATAAGGAGGTGGCTGTACTTTATCCACTAATAAACCAATAAAATGAAAAAATTGTGCAACTATATAATTTGTTATACAGGGAAATGCTTTTTGTAAAATTTTTTTGTTTTATTTTTTTTTTATAATATAATATATCATTAAAATGATTGATTCTTTTAGTTCATAGGAAACCCGTAATATTGATTGCATTAACTCATTTAATAACATGTGAAAGTTGTATAAAGAGATTAGACAAAAAAAATTATCCCTATAATACTATTTATAATTTATTAAAGTTGTTAATAATTATCAAATTTTTATTTTTATTTTAATAGTTAATATTTACTATTAATCAAATTAAACTCAGTTTATAAATACAAAATTTTAAATATTATATCAATTATTTAAAAATATTATTATAAATGAATAAAATTACAAATAAATTAATAAATAATGGTAACAACCTAACCCAATTTATTAGACTACAAACTCCGGGATTGGATTTGACGAGCTACCTAGTGTTATTAACAGTGCCGACTACTAAGTACTAATAGCTCAACTCTATGATGAATCCACCTCTATTCTCATGAGGATCCAACAGATCATGATGCTAGTGTTGATAAGCGAAGCTCCAAATTCAATGATTAAGAGGGCACATAAGGATGTAACCAATTATTAATATTTTGTAGTGTAATATAATCTAAATAAATCATAAAATATTGCACTTGGGCCTTTTAACTTAGTGGCAACAAAGCCACGTTAAAATATATTTCACTCTCTTTGAGGTAACGGTTTAAATCCGGCCCTTGTAAATATGTTAAAAAAAAAAAATTCATAAAACACTAAACAACCTATTCCAATCCAATGGCATAGACTCTGAATTTGAGTCGTTCATATTTTATAAGTGATATGTTCGAGTCCCATGAAAACTCTTCAAAAGAAAAAATCATAAAGTACCAAACTCTTTAATTAATTAGTGAACTTTAACCATAAACCTGTATTATTCTAATTGATTAATATGTGCTAAAAGTGATATGAGATGTAACATCTAACCATATAAAAATGTCTTATGCCCCGAAATTCTTATTAGTCAGTTTCTGCTTTTAATGATTCAGAGCAGTGTAGTTGAAGCTTTTGGTTGATTATTATAACTTCATAATGCAACCACCTACATTTACTTTGCATCCTAAACCTAAAAGCAAGGCTTTAAAAAATATTAATGCTCAGATCTATAATGTTGCTCAATTCTGTTCTTTAACAGATAATAACAATTTTAGATTGGCTCAATGATTATAGGAATTTGTCTTTTGAGAATATATAGATATATATATATATATATATACACTAATACACACACTAAAACTAAGGTCACCGTGATATGTTACCACATGATAGCAGAGCAAAAAATAATACAAATAGTAAGTATTCAGTTACGATGTTTTTTCTTTACTTTTACTTACAAAAATGATAGGATATCAAATGAATAGATGCATATTAAATCATGTATTTCACTAAATAAATAAAAATAACCATTCAACCACTTATTTGATGACACCTTGCATTATTATACATAAGATCATAACTCAGTTGCTTTGTAATGCAAAAGACATCAATGTCTGGACAGAATCATCAGCTCAACTACTCATGTGCCATTCTTATTCAAGTCAAGAAGGTTCTAAAGCATTAGAACAAAGCACAAAAGGAGAAAAGTTGCCGCTTTCAGAAATTAAAATGTCATTATTACCGTTGCTTAATGTTAGATTGATGCTAGACACTGGCCGAATACAGAACAACTGGCTAAAGCAAAAGATAAGAGTCCATTGAACAAATGCGGCTATATACACAAGCATAGGTTTTTGACTTTTTGTTAATTCTAGATTGTGTCTTATCATGAGATATTATACATGTTTTTCTCCAAAGACAAACCCTTATCTAATGTGAGTTGACACCTCCATAATTCAGTCTCTCCTTACTTCAATAGTTTTCAAATCTAAGTAATACTATACTCATCTATCACTTCTAAATATAAATTACCAAGTATTGTACCCAATATGACATTATTTTGTAGTTATGTACAACTCATACTACAAAATAGGGAACTGAATCACCGAATTAAGAGTTAAAAAGCAACTTTGCAAGGTCGGATTGGTAGCAGGCAATGTCAGGATTTCTTCATCTAGTGGGTTCCACTCATTTTAAGGTTGTGGTTGTCCAGATTAACATTATATTTCGCTTGACTACAAAAATAATTCCCTACAAAAGTATCATCTTTAAAAATTTTACACAAATGAGATCCAGTGGACTGTTGGAATAAGGAAAAGAACCTTGCTGCCGTTGGACCATAGTCTATAGAAATAGATAAAAAGCAGCCCACGGAAATAAAGTGAAAGTGGGAGGAGCTGCTGTCTGGGACAACAGAAACAGTGTGCAAAAGAAACTTCCAGAAGTGAAGCTACTTGTTGATATCCCTTTTCTCTTTCTACAGAGAAAAGTACTCTTTCAAATTTAAACTCAACCTCAACCGTTGGCCACACATCCTGCACAGACTGCAGCTTCCATATATGTTGATGCAAACCCCTGAGAAAGAATCAAGAGAGTTTCCAAATTTCCGGGAATTTGATTGCATACCTATTCAATGAAACAGGAACTTTGAAAATGGAGTAACACTAGAAAATGGCAACAATACTGATAATTAAAAACAAATCCATCTAGTATGAAAGAAAATAAGCACTTCTAAGAACCCTCCTGCCTCACCAGAAATGTGCCTCTGTGATGACATGAATGAATTTTGAAGACCAGCATAAAGTAAAGGTCTCTAACACACCATAGCACTTACAAATAAAAGTTCTACCTCAATTCAATTTCAATTTCAATTTGGCATCAGCTCAACACCGTAGCAGCAGAAGAGTAACATAGCAACAATGTTTAAGACAAGTATTAATGAACATCACCATTGCTCCATTAGCATTTCCCTATATTGCATTACGCTCAATTGGAATGGACAAATCAGAACAGAGAAGGGTGGAGGAGATGGGAAAGGAGAATCAACAAAAGTTCCTATAGATTAGATCCACAATTACATATCATCTCCACCACCTAGTAGCACTAGTTGGCAGCAGTGTGAAATACAAGAGCAGGAAAAACAAAGAAACGCCAAGAAACCAGACTGCCTATGATTTGCCCACTGGTTCAAGAGCCTCAACAGTGACAACACTATTTCCTCTGATCACCTGCAATGAGGTTAATGGTACAAGGTTTGAGTACAGTTCAAATGAGAGTCTAGCAATATAGCAAATTTCAAAGAAAATTTGAATACCCACCACCATGCCTATGTCAGTCTTCTCATTGCCATTGACCTCCACTGTGTTATCAACCACTAGATTCATAAACTGATCAAATCCACGAAGGGTTCCAACAACCATCCGATTTGCATTCAACTTGACTGCAGCGTAGGATGGAAATTATTTCAGCTATTAAAATCAGTTTTGTTAACACAGCTTGAATGTATTTATTATTGTGTCAGTCTAACAGACCAACACAAAACTGAAAGTACAAAATCTACATGAGATCACATTTATACGAAGCTCCAAACTCCCTATACACACAAGCAGGCCCATAACTTTTTCCACCAAACTTACTGGAAATGAAGAATTATTAGAGCATAAGAAGTACCAATGTTATAGACATTGTTAAACCTAAGAGCAGAAATTTCCAATGGTTAGACTGAGAAAATTCATGAATCTTGAATCAATCTAGACTGAAGGTATTAAAACACAACCACAACAAACCCCAGAAACGGGCATCAACCTCATAAGATCCTCCCTATGTCTATAGGTTGCAGAACGAAAACATGTACTATAGATTTCCTAGCAAGCACATAGAAGACATTACACTGAACTAGTAAAATGTCAAAAAAAAAAAAAAAAAGATATTAACTCAAACTAATATTCGAATCAACATTTCATTAAGCATCCATCCATTCTTTTACTTTCATAACCATACATATGCACCGATACCAATTTAAAACAATCTAAACAACTCAGCTTAAAGACTCATCATACAAACAAACATAAGGTCATTTCATACGGTGCGCCACCAAAAACCATGTCATCAGTTTGCAATCTGTGATTCTCATCAGTTCAGCAAAATTTGGCTAAAAAACCCTAAGACACGGAAGCACAACTTTGACACAATTACTATCAAATTCATTTAACCGTACATGATCAAGTAAGCTGAAAACTTAATCGAATTCATGTACATAAAAAGTGAGGAAAAACTTACTTTGAAGCTTCTTATCCATGTATCTGTTAGAATAAAAAAAATGGGGAAACAAAACAGAGTTAGAAATCTGAAGCGTAAAGAAAAAAGAAAAAGAAAAAACCTTAAAAGTGAAGAACTTACTTCTTGAGATCTGGAGGCTGGCCGGATCTGCTCATCGTGAACGGTGATGCCGGGAGGGAGAACAACGGCGACGCCGCGAGACGAGCTGGAAGGAAGGGGTTTGGGGTAAGAGCAACAATCGATTTGTTTCCAAAAATAAATCATCCCGCCCAAGGTGGGCTTTAGCAAAAGCGGGCGGTAGTGGAATAACTAGAAAGCCCAATGTCCAAATTTGAATTAGAACCTGCCTGGCCTGGCCCACAAAAATAAATTTAAAAAACTCTTATTTTATTTTGGTCTTTATCATGGGGGGTGTTGCGAGAATCGAACTCCCAACCTCTCGCACCCGAAGCGAGAATCATACCACTAGACCAAACACCCTTAATGCCAACAATTTTTAGGAAAATATATAAAATAGAAAAGTAAAAACTCTGAACCCAAGCCCTTATTCTATTCATCCCTTCCACTGTTCCAGTAGTATTGCCCAGTGTAACTTTTACTACCATTTTTACTATATATTGTTTTTCTTTTTTATCTTACCGTATATATATAGTGGTTATTATTTGTTTTTATTTTATTATATAATAGACACTTGCAATCAAAACTACCAAAGGTATGTTTGGTTTTAACTTTTGGGGAAAAAAATGGAGGGAATGAGAAAAAAGTGGTGATTTATTCCCTTTTTTTAATAATTAAATAAATAAATAAAAACTTTTTCCTCCCCTTTTAATTTTTCTTAATTCAAATATATCCTAAGTATATAAAATTAGCTATTGCTATCTATTGTAAGCTGTAAATTGCAAATTCAAGCATAACTACATAAATACAAGTGGTGAATATTCTAAGACTCCAAATAACTTTCAAGTTGTACTTCCCAATACTACTTTATGAACAAACCATTTGCTGAATATCATAAGAGTAAAGTAAACGAAGGCGGCAGCCAACACGACATTGCATCGGTCCGAACGTAACAACAATAAATAAAAAATTCTAAAGTGATGATAATGGGGATAAAGATGGAGACATCTTCAACATTTTTCTTTGAAATTGGTCGCACCTTTTCTGTACAAAACCCAAACCCTAACGTCAGTCAACAACTTTTGTCTTCGTAACTGAATTTTTTGTAGACTCATGTACATCCCTCCGCCGCCTTCAATTCGTCTAAAGTAGCATGGGAGCAACCCAAACTGTCAACCATAAATTGTAATAAATCCAACATTCTCTGCACATTAACCATAATTCTAGCCGGCATGTTTTCAGGTTCATGTGATCTTTTATTTATGGAGATAAAAAAAATAATTACCAGTGCAATGGATGTACCACATTAAGAGAGAGGTAATATTTTCGTAATTTAAGTATACATTAACAAACTAGGTACTTGTGATGTGACAGGTTTTCTGTATGACATGACGGAGAACCTAAAACATTTGATCTGTCAATTTCCATTAATTAGTGAAACTACTCTTAGGCTAAAAACG